AGTCAGGTATGTAGCTCCCAGTGTTGTGGTGTGGCCTTGTCATTGTTCATGTAGGGCCCCATTTAAAAAAGGCTGAACTAGGTCAGTCTGTGTATCTATCACAAATTGATAATCAATCAATACACTGAGTCTGTGGTACCTTTTCCTCCTTAAGTCTGACAAGCATTTTTTCATTGTTCAACTTCAGTGTCTCCAAATGCTTTTGAGTGTCACCTTGAGATAAGAAACGCTGCACCACCTCCTTGATGTCAGACACCCCTGTTGTGTCCTTGATCTTGTTCATGGCCTCCTCATAAGTTGTAATCTTACGTTCTTGTTCTTCCCCAGATAGGACTGCTTTTTGTTCTGTTATAAGCAGAATACAAAAAGATATACAATTATGTTTCATTTAACTATACATCCTTACATCCTTGTGGCGTTACAAAACAATGTATTCTGATTTTCTCTTCTGTATTTGTCTTGGAAAAGGTCATAATTGTGACCTGTGGTTGTAGGCACAAGTCTGACTTACAGATGTGTGCTCAGTTGCGCTTGTTATGGTAAGAACCTTGTTGTCACATTGAACTTCACTTAGTTATGTAAAAAAACTGGGAACTACGTGTAACCACAAAACTGTACAATGGATTCTTGTTACAAGTTCCTTACAGCTGGCTAAATATGAATTAAGGAATCTGATAGATGAACTGGATGTTAATCCTTTAAACCCCTCTCTGAGCCAATACACCATTTACTGTAAGAAAACTGAGCATTAAATGTTCTTTGCTTCAATTAAATGGAGTGACATACCAGTAAGATCCTCTTGCTGGAGAGAACTTCTCTGTAGCTGTTGAATAATTAGATAATATAGTTAACATTGCACACATCAGAGGTATTCATCTATACTTACAGAACTGTGCAAAATGTACTGTTCTTGCAAAAAAAAAAGAATATTGAAATTAAAAAAAAATTAATTATACTCTACCTGATTTAATCACTTACATAATATTCACTTGAATTTGTGTGTGTACAGTTTAATTTGTTATTCTAGAGTCTCAGGGTCCAGTATGAAGCCAGACTTTTGTTGCAATTAGTATCCATAATATTGAAATCAAATTGAGAGAATCTTCAGTGCATTATTTGTCTTGATCAGTAACTGTAATCTCTCATACTCTGCTTACAGTGTAGCTTGTTAAATCATAGTTGAGGCCAAAACTATACATAACTTCATTGGAAAAAATTTTCTATAAAGCTCTGTGCTGCCAAGGTTTGCTCCCACAACCTTGTAAGAACAATCATCATGCCTTACCCTTTTCTCAACTTTTTCAGCATGATCTTTCTTCTCTTCTGCTTGTTTCTTGTACTGAGCCAGTTCCTTCTCTCGCTCCTTTTTCCTCTCAAACACTGACTGCTCTAATTTTGTGAGTTCTGCCTTTGCAGCCTCACGAGCAATCTGGGCATCATGATTCATAGCATTCAGCTCTTCAAGTTCCTCTCTCTGAGCACAAATGGCTTTCTCATGATTATTCAGTTGATTAGGCCAAGTGCGTCGCTCTTCCTTCAGTTGTTCCAGTAAACCCTCGTAGATAGTCTTAATTTTCTTTGCTTCATTGACTTTCAAAATCATTTTGTCAAGACCATTCTCCAAACTCCGCAGTTTCTGAGATGAAGTGAGAAGGAAAAAAAAACTATCTTTCAGCAGTCAGTTTCAAGAAAAATAATAGAATTAATGGGTTACTGGAATGGAATTTCAGATTTTTTGTATCCTCTCTCTGACCACAAGTCTGTATTATTTCAGATCTTATGGTTCCCAGATTGAACTAGTTGCAGGAAACTCAACAATGGCTAGACACTTATTTATTAATTACTAGATAATTTATTTATTTTTAAGATTGAAGCAATTTGTTTTAGTTTTCAGGATTCCTGATGACACCTTTGTACAAGACCATCAAAGGAATATTACAATCATACCACCATTTAACTCCCAAGATCTGATTGTTAATTCTCCCCTCTAGCAGCTACACATTTCCTTGTAAATTAGTTATGAGAACTTGGTGCTAGATCAAGATAACAGCTTCTACCTGATAAGTTTGAATATTCTCATTACCTGTTTGCTAAATAATGAATGGATATTGTAGGGAGAAGTTTTATGTTAATCACTTCTGGGAGTTAAAGGGCTAAAAAGCAACAACTAGTAAAAGTACAAGTATGCCACCAGATTGTAAACATCCATACCTGTGCCTCAGCTGATTCTCCTGCATCTGTACTAGACACCTCTTCAGCATCTTTAACCAGCTGATTATATTCAGTTTCTAAGGCTGCCAGTTTCTTCTCGCGAGTACTTCTCTGATGTTTACAAGCATTCAGTTTCTTCTCTGCCTCACACACTTGTTGGTCAAGTTTAGTAATGGCAGCCTACAAGAAATATGTATACTAAATAACCATACCAGCTATCAGGATTCATTGAATCATAATAAGATTGTCTAGTCAATAATGTTTCTAGGTGCTGTGTTCTTTACCTTCCCTGACATGCCTCTCATTGCACAGTGTCTTTGAGGGTCTTTTTCTCTGAAAGCATCATCAATCACTTGCTCATCTCCCTGAGGAAAAAAATACCAATTCTTTTAATGCCAACAATACTCATGTTTGTGCCTCCTACTTGTTTTACTGATTACTTTAAGCCAATATCTTCTGTTCATTCACCTTACACATGTGAATCACTGAATGAGAATCTGTTTGTAAATCCAGTACAAAAAAACTCAATATGGTATTTGTTCTCTTTGTCACACAGGTACCACACTCTGGAATTCATTCTGGACTTCATTACCAATTAATGTTAAACAAATCACTCCCTTTTTTAGATTTCGTCAAAATATAAAGAACTCTATGACTAATGAATTCTATGAAAAGAATTATATGATTAATGGTTATAATAATGTTATTGATTCTTAAATAGTTTGTGTAAATATAATTAAATTCTTAGTAGTTAGTATGAAAAGTGATACTTTTTATTTAAATTGTTATTAACACAGTATTCCTTTTGTTTGAATTATTTACTTTGGGACACCCTCCGGATTAGTTCTTAGAACCGGCTATTTGGGTGTCCCAAATTCCACACAATCAACATAGCATTTAAATATTCCTTTCTTCCTGTCCTTCTTTATTTCTAAGATATGCTTAGTAACAGCGAATTGTAAACTATCTTGGTTTCTTTTTTCATTTTCTCATTGTTCTGTATTTTTTATATTGATGTTTGTAAGACTACTGTAATAATTATAACCTTTTCTAATACGCTGTATTCGTGTGAGTTTAAATAAAATTAAATTGAATTGAATTGTGTACTCCCAGAAACTTACTTTTAAGCTGCTAAGAGTATGAAAGACAAAGAAAAATCAATTGTGTTGTAATAGTGTTAGGGATTCTTTTATGTCTGAAAAGTGTATGCAGATTAACAAAACCACAGCTTGACAGATGGAAAATTCTCAGTAAGATCTGGAATCCTTTTATTATCAACTTCCTAGCCCACACATCATGGTATGAAATACATAATATGAACTACATGATATTCTCTTTTGTAAAATCAGTACTCAAAACAGTAATTTGGTATTATCAACTGAATTGATAACATAGATTGACCACTTTCAAGAGTTCAAAAGCAGACATTTTGGGCCTAAGGCCAGTTTGTTCCGACGCTTCAATTCGCTTTCAATTGACAAAGGGCTGATGCTCAAAACGTCAGCTTTGAAACTCTTAACAGTCAGGCCAATTCATTTTATCAACTCAGTTAATAATACCAAATTACCTTGTTATACTCTCCCACTGATGCGGCACCACAGTTTCTTTAGAAACTTACCCCCTTTAATCAGAACTCACCATAAATTGGTCAAATAGGAAAAAGGCAGCCAATGAGATTAGCCTGTTGTTCTGACATTTGAATTCGCTCTGACAAAGGGCTGATGCTCAAAGCGTAAGCTTTGAAACTCTTAACAGTCAGGCCAATTAATGTTATCAACTCAGTTGATAATACCGAATTACCTTGTAATACTCTCCCACCAACGCAGCACCACAGTTTCTTTAGAAACTTACCCCCTTAAATTGGTACTCGACATAGATTGGTCAAATAGGAAAAAGGTAGCCAATGAGATTAATATGGTGATTATGTCTATATGTCAAACAAGAAAAGTCTCTGATGCATTTCTCTCAGAAGACTTCCAAAATTCAACCACTATCAATTCAATGGAAAAAAATAACAACAGAATATTTCATTCATGAGCATATACAATTTGCTCTGAAATGGCTACATGGCTATCAGAGGCTATTTGCTTTACGGAAAACTATAAATTTAAGTTTGTGAATTATTATGAGCTAATTTACGATTTCAAAACCACATACCGCTTTCTTCTTTGCCAGTTCGAATCGCAAACGTTTATTTTTCTCCCTTAATTTGCTGATTGTATCTTTGTTCTTCTTCATAGTCCATTGAGAACTTTCGTAGTAAGCTTTCCTGTCTCCGTCTGCACAAAAATGTAAACATGAACGACATTGAGCTGGAGTAAAACAAACTGTCGCTCTCTGGACGATGAAAAGTAACGGTAAGAAACCAAGAGAGAAGCATTCGATTAACTTGAAATCACTGGTGGAAAAGTGCTTAAATTGTAGTGTTCAGTAAGCCAGTTCAAGAAAACGTTGACATTTTGCAGCTTATACACTAATGAAATTCTTATCAATCAAGTCTTACCAAGGAGAGCAAGCTTCTTCTTAAGCTCTTCAATCTCTTCTGTAGTAGTGATCGCTCCCTCAGACATATTTTCCCCTCTTTAATAAGCCAAAATCCGATATAAACCTGTTTGAAACGGTAAATGTACTAAAAGTACTATCGGTCTGTTTTTCAGCAACAACTTCACCTCCTTTGCATCGTTGTCAAGACAACATACAAAATACAGCGCTTGATCCGGTGAAGAGTATCTGCTAACCAGCTTAAATCGCTGTCTCAGAAATTCTTCAACCAATCAAAAGGCACATTTCATCCGCGGTATTTACAAAATGGCGGCGAGCGCGGTAAAGGAAAATTCAGAAGATTGTGATTTAAACACTTTGAAAGCGAGAAAAGGATCGCTTACTCCCGCAGAAGTAACTGAATTGTCTTCACTGTCATCTCAAGAACCCGAGGAAGTAATACGATGTTTGGAAGGCCGACAAAATATGTAAGCTCTCATCATCTGCTTGTGGCTAATTTTTCTAAGGCTCGCTAGTAGCCGTGTGCGGCTACCGAACAGCTGTTGCATCGATCATGTCGTAAATCTCGCTGCGAAAAAAGATTCATTTTGTTTTGATGCGTTTCCTTGTAGATATGGTCACCGTAACCCAGAAGCAGAGACCCAAATTTACTCTCTGAATACTGTAGACGGTGATGGAGAGTGTAACTTCAAAACAAGAAATATCGCTAATACTCCAACGCAGCTGACGAACACAACTCCAGGAGCATTCAGGAAACAACCCTTTAGGTGAACTACATGATTATTTCCATAGATTGATGATATTCATGAAAGGAAAGCCTGAAACTGGGTGAAAGTAGTACTGAACAGATATTCCTGATCCGTTTTCGGACAAGTTGTTTTCTCTCCAATCATTGTCCACAGCGGTACGAAATAAGAGACTTAGTAACTACTAGACACTAGGAAAGGCTATGTTCTGTAAGTTTGTGTGGATTCTTTTGGCTTGATTTCATTGTTTGCTTGCTGTGAGGGTAATATAATAATTATGCAATGTTAACAGTTCAGACTCCTCTGTCTATTTGCAGAAGCAGCTCTAAGCTAAGGCAACCATTTAAGTCACCTGTAAGTAGCTAGGATGCTTTTGTTCACACTTATGATTAAAATCAACATGAACAACTCCTTAATGTACACACCATACCTTAATGCCCAGGTTACTGTGACATTTAATAAAGAAATGTATCGAATTTTGTGGAGAATTAATTTTTTTTTACTTTTTTTGGTGAGAACCTTTTTGATAAGAAAGTTCTGGCTGAGAGTAACCTAAATTGAATAACATACTAAGAACATAACCAGGCTGAGAGTCAGTGAAGAACGTCTTTATTTTGCTATTCTTTTGTGAGAAGTTTAGATAAGATAAAAAAAATGTAACACTTTTTTCTAACAGAACAATTAACTCACAAACTTAGGGGCCTCTTTTAACATTTACAATGTGGTTTTCATATTGCATAATACACTGAAGTACAAGTCAGTATGTAGCTGAACTTAGTCTGCACACATCTGAATTGATTTTTTGAAATACTATATCTTAAAACTTTGAAAACATGTGAAGAACATTTTTATGCTCCAAGCGCAAGAAAAAAAAGAATGTTTAGCCTCAGCCTCAAAATTATACATTCATATAAAAAAGATGTACCTTACATGTACTTTTAGATTTATTTAAGGAGTAAAATACATGGGGCAAAAGTGATGATCAATGAGAGTTGCATAAACTCAATAACACCGAGGACCTAGTACCGTATATAGCTAAAATGTTTATCTAAAATCGATCTTTCAGCTTCAAATGAGACGGCAGACTACATCTCTTGAAGATGAAGCATCTTTGGTTAAGGAGATTGAAACTTTAAAAGCCAAGTTAGAGATTCTGGACAAAGAGATCAAAGACCTCAGTGAAGAGTAAGTGTACCTGAGTTTGTGGGTAGGATGAAAGAACAATGATTGTGGTGTGTAAAGTACCTTCAAATGCAAGACTCACCATCAATTCTTCTTGAGTTGTGCATAAATCAAATTTTACTTTATTATGCCAAATGAAAATCAACATACTCAATCTGTTTCATCTGTGTGAAAACTGCTTTAGCACCTTACATGAAGTTTTGTCATTAACACACATAAACCCTGAAGAGCAATAAATATCTAATATTTCCCAAAAATATCACCCCTGAATCAAACATTAAAGTTGTAACAATTAAGGGAATGATTACAACTTAAGAAGCTCTTAACCCTTTAACTCCCACAAGTGATTAACATATAACTTCTCCCCGCAATATCTATACATTATCCAGCAAACAGGTAGTGAGTGTACTCAAACATATCAAATAGAAGTTGTTTTCTTGATCTAACACCAAATTCTTGTAACTAATTTAAAAGGAAATATGTAGTAGCTGGAGGGGAGAACTGACTATCAGATTTGGGAGTTAAAGGGTTAATTGTTAAAAAAAAAAGATTCTCATTATTGGCACTGTAAGAGATGTATGGAGAATACTATCCATGGAGAATATGCATACTGATGTTAGGGCGCAAAGGGTAAATCTAAACCCTTTCTTAAGGTGATTGCCTATTGAAACTACTTATTCATGTCATATCAGGTACAGTGAAGAAGAGCTTCAGCAGCACATACAGATGCTTCATGAGTACAATGAAATTAAAGATGTGGGACAACTTCTCCTTGGAAAATTAGGTATAAAGAATTAATCTGAATTTCTTCACATACTGGATCATGAGCACAGGTACTCAAGTGCTTTAATTGGCACTACTCCTCAGTTACAAATTGTTTGATGGAGTAAGTAATATCAAGTCTGCAAAGTTCTCTCTTTAAGTTAAGAAAACTATAAACTTTTATCTTAATTTGTACTTCCTGATGCTAACAGTTACATGTTTGACCCATTCAGATAACCATATAGACATTGAAGAGGTCATTACCAGTGGTTTTTTTTGTTCTCATTTATTCACAGCTGAAATAGATGGGACAACAACACGAGCTAAGTATCAGGAATTTGGACTGGATACTGATGACTAGTTGAAAATCAGGTGGCTTAACCACATCACAACAACTTAATATACACAATGTTTACAGCCTCTCTATTTGTCTCATGCTACCTCTTTTACAATTTACATCTATAACACTAATTGCTCCCCTCCCACTCTGATGCAGTGTTCTTTGTCATGATTTGCCAGATAAGCATTTTAATGGACCAAGGGTACACAGCTTTTTCAGGAAGGAGAGACAACCTGTTTGGGTCCTTAACTTTCCAATAAAAGGCAAACAGATAACACATGACACACAACTTCCACATAGTTATTCAAATATGATTAGAAAGCCTGGATCCATCATTAAATTTGTTTAAAAAAGGTTGCCATTTGAATTTGCTTTTCATTTCTTTCAAAGAGAATAGATATTAGGCCTATTCATAATGAAGAATAAAATTGAATGTACAGTTAGTTCTATTAACCAACTAACACCCATTTGCACTATCATGCTCACACAACAAGGGGTCACACACCTAATAGAGATGGAAAGTTAATTGCAAACTAACTTTGTGAATTAATTTTGTTTTCCAAATGAAAATATTTCAGCTGTTTTTACTATGCATTTCAATAACAAAACCCAAATCTGAAGGTCATGTAGGTAAACTTGCATTTTCTTTTCATGCTGCTGCCAATTATTACCACACCAGAAATCTGAGAGCTTAATAACAAAACAAGGATTTAATCCCTCCAATCTATAGTCAGATCATAGCCTTCTAAACCTACTGAAACATTTTACATGTTTCCAAGAAGGTCTGCAAAATGATTGATAATCTTATGGCTCAAAAAAAAAAATCTTAAAAAGTAAACCTAAACTTGATAGTTTGAATGGCATTGCAAAGCAAAGTAATTCAGTGTTTACCCTAATCTGGTAGTTTTTTTTTTTTTACAACACAATAGGTTTGTGCAGTCCCCACTCTGGATGGATGGTAAAATGCCGTCCATAGGCCCTGTGTGGCTGTGTGAACATGGAACTTTTGTTTATGGCAGCATCACTTGGTACTTTGTAAACAGGAAGATGATGCCATGTCTGAAACTGCTGCCTAACATGACCTGGTAGCCGCTGCCGAGCTTTCTGGTAATATGACTGTTTGGTAATGTCTGGAGCTCGCTTTGGATTGTATAGCAGCTTACCACGAGATGCAATGGTGCCTTCTCTATGAAACAACAGTAAGGTGGCAGTGAATCTCTAAATTGTATAGGTTATTTGTAGTTAGGATTATTAATTGACTATATATCCTGATAGTTACAGAGCAAACAGTGAAGTTAGTTTTTAAAATACTGTACATAAAGGTCTGTTTAAAATTTATTTGCATGCAGCCTTACCTAGCCAGTGCTTCAAGAGCTTCCTCGATTCTTCCTCCATCATAGTTGCCCTCTGTGTGGTCATGATTTATTTTAAGGCCCAGTGAGTCCATCTTGTCTGCCTTAACTCCAGACAAAGTACTGAAGAATTTCAAGGCCAGTTCACGTTCTGTCAATCAAATAAAAAACCCACTCAATCTATCTGCACAAAAGTTCCTATTTTCATGCTCTGCAGATTGTTTGGTGCAGAAGCTGGTTTATGAGAAACAAACTGTTGACTGAGATATTTTGCACTATTTTTTTGGCACAAAGTGTTCTCTTGTTTGCACTAAGGTCAAAACAAAATGTGATAAAGCCTTAGTGAAACACTAAGGAAAAGTATGAATTAAAATGTATCTCACAATACATGTAAATCATATATTGACCACAATGGTTGAGATGAAAAGTGATGAGTTTATCTGCAAAGAGTATCTGCAATTAAAGTCACAACAGAAAAAGATGTATAAAAAATTCTGAGATTTTTCAAAACGGTGAAAAATAAAAAGCGTGCTATGCCTCAGTTTTTAATTTGTCTAAGATTATCTTTATAAAGTAATTGCATGCATTTTCTCATTCAAATAAACCTTTGTCAGTGGCTGTTTTCAACCATTTATCTACTGCCTCCAGTGACTGGGGATGAATTGTCTTCTTGATTGACTGCAAAGAAAGCAATATGGTTAAAAACATAAAAAAAAGTAAAATAAGGAGCCAGGAAACATCAGCAATATACAAATAATTAAGCTAATGCACAAGAAATATAATAAAACTGCATCTGTACAATGTTTATGTTCCTTCACAATATGTCTTCAGTTGATATTTGTTTTAAAACATTAGATTGGCTGAAAAAATGAAACATGGTTTGTTTCAATCTTCACTCTGTAATAAACTAAGAGTATTGCTTGTCGCCCTTTGGATGGCCAGCAGTGTAGTCATGTCATTCTCTAAACTGTGGGCAAATGTTTGCCAAATTGACCAAGGCTCTACTTTACCTTTTCAATGGCCATGTTCTTTGCCTTTTCCAGTTCTTGTGGAAGATTCTTGTCTGGAAAAATGTGTAACCAATTTAACATAATAATAGATACACATCACATTACAAGTTGTGGAAACTGAAAAAGTGTACTTGATAAAAAACTTGGCACAGAACTACCTATGATATATATGTACCTTGGCTCACAGGCTCTTGAGAAGATTTTCCCATTGCTGGCAGTGAAGTCTGTATTGAATAAGAAAGAAGTGTTGACTGAAATCTGCTCAAAGAGATTACTACAGAGTTGTAGTTGAGCTTGGGCGAAAAGAGATATTATTTTTCATAGATACCTGTTGCTTTTACTGATATTTGCTGACTTAAAAATAAGAGTTCCAAAAGTGATTTCACAAATAGGAGCTACATGTAACTCTTAAAATTCCAAATTAACCAAACCAACTAGAGTAACCTTAAAGTTAAAATTTACATGCCACATACATGTAACATCTGTTGAGAGGCAAGTATCTGGTATCATCATGTACATGTAACATCTGTTTAGAGGCAAGTATCTGGTATTGTTTAAATTACAGTTACAATGTATTTGCCCACTGTATATCATTTACAAGTTGGGTGCTTTAATCCCTAACAGGTTAATTTAGTATTAACAAATGGGTTGATAACATAAATTTGCCTCCTTTGAAACCCTTTATGATGATCAATTTACATTATCATCTCAGTTAATAATACTAAATTACCCTGTTATAATCTCCCACTGACGCAGCACCACAGTTTCTTTAAAAACTTACCCCCTTTATCCATTTGCTTTTATCCCTGCAGAGTTTCTTATATTAGTAAGATCTTAGTCTCAGAGCAAAGTTGCCAATTATCAATAATTTCTTAAGTACATACATTTGTGTTGAGTCTCTTTGCCCCTCTTGAATGGTTTTCTTGCCCATCACAGGCACCCTCCCCTCCCCTTCCCTTCACTATCATTCCTTCCTCTGCACTATTTCAGGTTTAGTAAATATTTCAAAGGTTAAGAGTGTAAATTCCTTTTATGTACCTGGACTGCGAGGAAAGTGTCTTGTCAAATTTCACAACACTATGACCCCACCAGAGCTCAAACCCACTCCTATGATCATGATTATTAGTGTAGTAAGGTAACCACCACACTACTCTATTTCTCTTGACAACTGTCAATAGTTATAGGCTTCATAGTTCCCCTGGCTACCAGGTTTGACAATAGTTATCTACAGCTTTTTGGTGACAAATTACTGAGTGCCACTTACAGGAGCTGCTGGTGTGAGTTGCCTTTGCAAGGGACTTCTTCTCAAGCAGTTAGCTTCAGACTGCAGCCTTGGCACTATGTATTGCATAAAAAAAAAAATTAGAAATAGCTTGTCTTCCCATGGCAACACTGTTTTGTTTATATTTCTATCTCTATTATACATGTTCAATTACAAATGCATTAACAGGATATAAACATAATATTGCTGTACAATTGAATTCTCCAATTTAAGCTTTTAAAGATAAAGCACGTTATGTAACATGAAAGTTCTACATTTGTATAAAATAGACATAAAGATTTGTTCATTTGTCAACACTGTTAATATATAAAAAGATCAGCAAAAGAAAAACTTTCAAGACTTCTGAAAAGTGTTTCAAGTAAAGTGCCCCAAAGAAAATTCGAGGAAGCATTGCATTGTGATTTTTTAAGAAGATTGTTAACCAAAGAAATTCAAGAATTGCTTTGTACTTTTTGTGATTTTTGGTCACTTCAAGAGTTGTAAAATGTTGTCAAATTACACTCACATCCTGCTGTTTCCTATATGTTTTTAAATTCTAGTTATTTAACCTTTAGAGTGACCAGCATCTAATTTCTCCTCACAATATCACCTGTTAAGGAGGCTTCAGAGGGTTTTTGCTCAATGTTGGTGTGCACCCCAGTGTAATGTTTTTCTAAAAAAATTTTGTGATTTTGCTTTTCAAGGTCACTAAAAGCCATCAAAAGGCAATGAGCAAGGTTTGGACTACCTTTGCTGTAGTAAAAATTATCAAAATTTTTTTCATTATTAGGCTAAGGCTCCACAAAGGGAGGCCCTCGCCAGCAATAATTTGTCTTTGCCTTTGATTTTCTTAAATTTGTTTTGGTGAAATCTCTCAAAATTTTTACAATTTGTGAAAATTGTCCTGCTGATAATTTAAAAGCCCAAAAAATAGGGGTTACAAATGCAGTTTCCTTGCTATTTGCAATTTTGTGTTTTCTTCCTCCATCTCAAATTTGGTCTTATGACTTTTTTCAGTAGGCACTAGGAAGGGCACAAATATGTTTAATGGTCCAGCAAATCTTAGGAAATTCCACAGAAGGAGACGCGATAAATCTTACTGGAAAGGTCCCTTTTTCTTTGTCCCAAAGCATTATGTAATGGAATAGAACTTTGCCAAGATTGGTATCTAAGCATGCATAGAATTTCGAATCTGTTGCCTTTTGGCAATCTTTCCCACAGTGTTTACCTTTTGGCTGACCTTTTTTCAGGTGTAGAAGGCCTAAGAATATTATGGGTGTGGTTGCTGGAAACCCTATATTCCATCACACTGTATTGTGTTAAACTGTTTTTAACACACCTTTTCAGATAACAATCTTGTGATTGTACTGATCCAACTTGTTTGTTTTGCATGTTGACACTTTTTAAAGCTCATGCTATGTATGCACCCAGATCTTGTGTGGCCAAAAAACCCTATGGAGCCCCCTTAATCACACATGAACGTCATGACTAGCAACTAAAGAAGCTTTTGATTGGTGAACAAATTCTCCTTGTCAGCACCTTAGGAAATGTATTGGGAACTGTATGGAGAATATACATAATGTCAAGGTGTCAAGGGTTAACAGTACTTTTAAGTTGTACTTACAATCAGCCTTTCCTCTGGAGAGTGGTTGAAGTTGTTTACTGCCATGGGACTGTTCACTTAGTACAGACATTCGGGACCCTAACTTCTGTCTCTGCCCATCAAATCCACCTTTTTTTTAATAAAAAAAGTAATTCAAAATCCATATTTTTTGGATAATTTTACATAGCAACTGAGCTAGAGGGCTGTACAGGGAAATTGGCCAGGGGCCATGGTGGTATAGACCAAGGGACAATATTTCCCAGAACAGCTTTATCAAGTGAGGTTAGTATCAAGCAGCTTATTATAAGGCTCTTGTTTTTCACACAAAACTTGTTTATTTTGAATTTGTTGGCTTTTGAGACCAAAAATCCACATCTTATGAACATTTCTGTGGAAATGGTCCACATGGCAAAATACGCACCAAGTGAGAAACAATCAGAATGCTCAGATTTACTTTTAGACTACCGTGCCATATAATAATAATAAACATGAAGCATCTAAAAGAAAAACTGACCTCATGCTCATTTGTCACGTAAAAATTTACTTTCTCAGCCATAAGTATCATTTCTCAGAAGAACATCTAAATGCAAAAAAATCATGCCCAAACACTCTCCACCCCTCCAAAAAAACCAAGATAGAAAATAATCTGTCCATGTGACAAAGTTTTTCAACTTCAACATGATCTTACCTGCTGATGGAGGGGGCTGCTCGAGTTTACGCTGTTGAATCAGTCGTGATGGCACACGCCATGCCATAAAACTCTAAAAAAGTAATTGTTATATGGGGTGATTACATGTGGAGATTGTGGAACCTTTAAGAATGTGAGGAAGCTAATTGTATACCAAGTCATATACATATATCATATACATATGTTACATTTTAACAGGCAGAGACTGCAACTGCAGTCTCTGCCTGTTCAAATGTAACATATTGGCCTTGCTAGCTGCCAGAGAGCTAAAGAGGTGTTGTACTTATCTTTTATTAAAAAAGCCTCTCCTACAGTGGATTTCGCACCAGAATAAACCTATTAATTATTCATAGCGAATTCACCCAATAATACCATCTTGATAAATTAAGATCATCAAGGATAGGGAATTTTTTTCCAGCACATTTCGCAGAAATTTTTTTATATCCAATTCTTCTAGAAAGACTTAAATCAAGAGTTTTCTTTTTTTGGTAAATTACCCAGAGTCGTGAAACAACTACGTATCATAAGATTAGCAACATTGTGAAATTTCATACAATTTTAATGAGTAAGATGATTTCATAGAGTCACACGAAAATGTAGCACACAGATCATGAGCATGTAGCTGTTAATTTAGAATGAATGAAAAGAGAAACCGAAAGCAAAAACTGAGAGACCTTAAAGCACTCGTAATTTGACTCCTTTCTTAGTTGACCTCAACGTAGTGACCCGTGAATTTCTACTGTAAACAAATGAAGATGAGCTGCGTTTTCGCCGAATACAAGAATATTGTGCGGCGTGGGGCTAAAAGCAGATCACGCACCCAGATTTTCTTGCACGAAAATTAAGTTACGAGCTATTTAACAACCTACCGGTGCAGAAATATTACTCGCTGCTGAGCCACTTCTTTGACTTCCATGCTTCAGATGAGGAGCTTTATCAGTGAGGTCCGTGGAATGATACGGAGTTCCTGGCGGGAACACTCGCGACGATTCTTGTTTGTACTTTATTTTAATCGAGCGTAAGAACCCAGCTGGCAGGCTGTCTGTTCTGGAGTCTCCAATTAAATCTATGAGATCCATAGCACTAACTATTCAAGTTTAGTTTACTACTCTGTGTACCATTTAGACTCCATCTTGTCGTTCGGCGAGACCCTTGACAACGAGCCTCGCTTTCGTTCCTAATACGAAACTTGGACTGGACTTTGTAATCGTAGGACAAAAGAAAAAGCAGGTAATTTAGTGTTAACAACTGGGTTGAAAACGTAAATTAGCCACCGTAAAGAGTAAAAAAGCTGACGTTTCGAGCGTTAGCTCGTTATTGAGAAAAAGCCGAGACTTATCTTTGCAACGTTTACACCAGCTACTATTTCTACAACCTCTGTTTTTATCATAAGAATAGTTTTCCTATTACTATTATCGGTTAGTATTATCATTATATCAAAGAAAATGCACTAAATGAGATTACTCGTTAATACACATGCAAAAATGTGACTGTTTTTTCCTTTTAGTTAGTCGTGTTTATCTCGTGTCATGGCTCACTGATTCGGCCGCTTGTCTTTGCCTTGTCGGCGGAGAAGTTAGGCTTTTTCCCTCAACAAATTTCTTCGACTTGTGAGTAATCAAACATTTTTACTCTTTCTCTGTGAGGTATTGGTTTAAAGCGGAAAAAATTGCACTAATGCTAACAGTCTTGTGATCCTCCCCTTCTTTCTTGCAAACTGTTGCGTGAATCTCCTCGAGAATTTTTTCAGGGCTTCCGGTTCATACTCTTCAATAGCCGAACCTTCCTTTGCGACCACCTCTCGTTAGCGACTTCTTTTCCAAGATACCAAAAGTTTCCGAGTCAAATCACTGTAAGTCGAACCTCTCGTAAAAGTGGCCGCCTCTCGTGAGTGACCGCCTCTCATAAGAGGCGCTTGCAATTTTTAATTGTTTTTTAACCTCCCGTAGGCGACCACTCGATAGACAATCGGCTTTATCTCTCACTAGAGGAAACTGAAAATTGTTTCAACATATGTCGTAAAATTGGAGCTACGGGATGTTTCTCCCGAGATACAAAACAATCACTATAGATTTTAGAATTTTTTCCCTTGTAAGCCGCTTAAACTCATTACTATAAACCTGTAGGTTTCAATAAGCGCAGACGAGAGGGTCAGATCACCATATGCAAATTACCCCATAGAATATAGACTCCCTGTGGTCTGACCACCCTGACATTTAGGGTGGTCTCTTACGGGAAGTTCAAGTGTACTAACGTTACAGCTTTAATTGGAAGCTCAAGACTTCCAGACTTTTCGCCAGTTGTTTTTGCTTTGTTGCCTGTTTTTTTCTGGGCGATCTCCCTGAAAACTCTGAATTAATCGTCCAACTTTCTCTTGACCCTGACCTTTCAGCTATTTTAGTTGTGCCTTCGCGACTCTCCTTTTAACCAAGTTAATTTCAAGCCTCTGTACTCATTTTCAATTTGTAATCCCTCAGTTTGAACTTTTTGCACCCAATTTCAACTTTCTGCGCTGTTTGGGATTAATGGACGTTTTCTCGGCCAATGAAAATAGTGAAATTTTTCCAAGTATGTTATTGGGTCTGAAATCAAACGCTCGATTTCGAAATCGAACAAGTCCCAAATGAAATCTTAGGAATGATTTCAAACCAAAATTACACTCAACTCAGTTCAATTACCACTTCATTATATCCACTTTTGAATCGCAAAATACAATCACCCAAACACAGGATTTTAGTTAGTGCGAATATTTCATAGATCTATTACTGAGCCGATTTGTGAAAAAGGTGGAACCGGAAAGAGAAACAGGAAAGTTTTTTTGCCACGCGATGGCTTCTTTGTCTTTCATTTTCTTGCAACTTGATTGGTTACTTAAACAAGCCTTGAAATCTGATTGGCTCTGATAAGCACTACAGCACGGGCCACGGATGCTAGCCGACAATCCGCTTGTGCCGTAGCGCCATTCAGGGAGCCTTCTTGTAAGTAAACTCAATGACGATAAAAATTTAAATCAATTTGCGTCGTTTGGAGTAAGGAGAAGGACACAATCTATGAGTTCAAGCTGTTTTGCGCTTAGTTCCACAACAAATGAAAACACTATGGGAAGGAATGAACTAAGAGACCACCAAGACAGTTCTCTGCTCTACTCTATCACACAGACAGCTTATTTTCTAGCTCAAATGTTTACGCGAAGCGCATTTCCTGGGTTAGTGATTCTGTGCACTTAGTATACGATAGTAGAAGGCAAATCATCTTGTGCTATCCTTTACTGTTTAGGAACCTCTTACTTAACTCTCACCTGAAGGCGCGATGTGCACAACTCTTGCTTAGTCAATGTTGATATTTCCAGCCGACGATTTAACTAAAGTTCGTCATGGAGTATTTTGAAGAAAGACGAAAGAAGGAGAGCTAGAGACATCAGAGAGACGACCATTTTATCGTCTTTCCCTACGCACCTATTGTTTAACTGGTTGAAGTTTGTGAGACCTCAGTGCGGCGTTTGGTTTGTCAGTGAAACCTTGGTTATGCAACAGAACAACTTCTCAGAACAACAGTGAGCGTTCAGCCGCTGCTTTCGTCAGTTGAACGAGACTGATCTTGAATTCTTTGCCAATGCTATAGCCTGTTCCCCAGATAGTCCTACTGGTGAAGTTAGCAGTTTATGTTGTTTGGTCTTTTCTTGCCTGGTTTCAATATAAGGATCACAAGCAGATCACAAGTATTGCATTTGTTGTTTCTCGGAGTCCAAAGTACAAGGTTCACACTAAAGATCTTTATCTCATAAAGATGTTGACATCTGAGAATTTTTTTTGCAGCATTTTTGTGAAGAGTTAACTCTGTGGTTGTATTTTGATTTTCCGGGAAGCTGATCATTTGTCTCTCTTATTCTGCGCTATCTTTATTCCGGCATTTCTTCCAAAAAGTTCTCAATACGAGAACTAGATACGAGAACGTGCAATTAAAAAATGATTTTGCCTTACCTGTTGTTGGTGTTGCGCCGGTAGAAAGTATTTTGGACAAAAGAGAGCTTCTCGTAATTATTGTAACCAACATTTTACCGATAACGATGGTTCGATGCAACAGCCATACTTCTTACTTTCAAGTGGAACGCTCATTTTTGTTTCTAAATGCACTGAAACCTCTCAAATCAAAGGCCGGTGGTCCAGCGGAGCTTTCAGAAAACACTTAAGTTAGTCTCGGTTTCAACAGACAAGAGTCGCCAAAGCATGGGGGAACAATTCTTGGGTGAGGAAGAAATGGGGAAAGTAAAGACGATTTATGACCGTTTTATGACTTCAAATATTCCAGTTACACAAATTGAAACTTCCTGTGCATGGAATCTTCGAAAATCGTATTATATTGTCAACCGTTTCCGGCTGAATATTTGAGAGGTTAAAATGAAGGAGTACTCCATGGAACCCTCTAGAGCTGGACAGAACACACTTGTATGAGATGAACTTACAAGTAAAAGAATAATCAAGAGAGCTCACTAGTACATGAAGGGACTGAGAAAACAACCTTGTGCTTGTTGTCAGCGAAGCTCTTGGATGTGATTTGTGTCAGCTGTGCACATTTTACATGTCTTTTTTTTCTCTTTCGTTTCGCGCCATAATTTTTTTTCTCTAGACTGTGGACCAAGATGGCAACGATCTGTCCCACTCGGAAAATGATATTCGGTTTCCATTATCAAGTACTGGTCGCTTGCCAATTGCATTCATTGGTCGAATGGTGGCAACACGACTTTCATATCATAATGGTCCACCATTACTGACGTTTCTAATTTCCGTGCACCAAGAAAACATATTTGGGAAGGATTAAGAGGGCGGGGTTGCCATTTGGAATGGCTAAACCACAAACTTTGATCAGTACCAGTGCCTGCCTGGGCTTTTAGCCAACAGATCAAAATGATACATCTTATGAATTCCGACACGAAAGGATTTCTGAACGTCAATTGGCAAAAGTCCATGACTTATTTGCCATGATTACGGCTGTTTTGTACGTTATTAGTTGAGAAAAGAGATATGATAATAGTAGTGATGTAATTCAAGTGAAAGTGGCAATGGCATCTAACCGAGACTTGTCTGGTGTGTGGCAAATCTGGGTATTTCGAGCTTACCTTAAACTAATATAGATCACCTTAGAAATTTATAGGAATAACAACTAAGTGGCATTGTCATGTTAAGTTCGACGAATTGGGAAAATTTGAAGGTTCCGTGCAATGCTCACAAGAAAGACGCTGCACGTTATCATAGCGTTACATGGACTGTGAGGTTTCACTCAGAACCCTGGTCAACCTGTCAATGAATGATTTGTCACCGCAGGATCCACAACTGTTATAGCCTAGTTTGTCAGAAAGATCGTTTTAAAGGATGTGACTCGTGCAGGGGCACGTGCCAGTGCAATGGTCGAAGTTCGTTTCAGGTAGTAGAAGAAATACGTACAACTTGTACTATTTTTAAAAATCCTTTGCCGGCATCAGTTTCAAATGACACCAGGAGGCTATTCAAGGTCATTGTTCAGATTGCGAAAAGCGAATCAAAAGTGTTTTTATTCATCTGGGTACTTTCATTAACTGTCACTTGGCTTGGTATATTACAGTACTCCAGACTACAAACAAGTTACTTCTTCTTACTTCAAAGGATCTACAAGGAGTCACTTGTCACCAATCTAGGTTTATTTCTTCCGCTGGTAAGTAAGTCTTTCTCGTATTTTGCAAAATCCAGTCGGAATCAAAGTTTAATTTTTTGCATTAGTGCCGGAAGAAGATTTTAAAGTGAATTGCTAAATTGTACTTAATGTAGTTAATCTGCGTAACCGACCTGCTGTAACTTCACCGTTCAGTGCAAGAATAATAGCTCTTTTTCTATAAGATTTTTCTCCAATTCTTAGTGTTATTCATTAGCATATTGGATACAGTATATGAATTGACAGATCTACCGTCGATATCGCGTAACGAAACTGTAATTATTAATGAAACTGTGTCGGCGGTTAGTTTAGATAAGTTGTGAGCCAGTACTGTTAGTATTAGTTAAAATCAGGTCGGCAAGATTTTGTTTTAAGTTACAAATTAAGAACACTGAATGTCTCTACGAAAGAAAAGGTCTCATCCACCGTTGTGAACCTTCAGAGTTCAAGGAAATTTTCAAGGAAATTTTAGACGATTTTCAGTTAGGCAAAAGTAGGCCATGATATCCGTATGGCCATTGTCTGCAGCCAGGTTTCTTTTTTGATCGTGCCAGATAACCATGGTTTGATAGATTCTTCTCGAATGAGCGGAAATGACCGCCTCCACCACACGCTGAGCTATACAGAGAAAATTTTACAGGAAGGGAATAGGATAATGTTTTCAAGACGCAAAATAGATAGAGATTTATTCAAAAGTCTTTGAGTCATATGAACAATTTCAGTCCTTCCTTTCGAAGATAACACGAATTAACTTCAAATTTTCAGTAATTGTTATGTGGACCGCGCTCTGTCTTGCTTTTAGAATGAAGTTTTCACGGCCCTTTTGCACAACAATTTAAGAGAATTATAAGTATTTACACTGTGTGGCATGGCCGGGAACTGCATCGAAAGCTGGCCCACGAACTGCCTAAAAAGTATCGAGATTTCGGTTAAACCCTTGAAGTTTTGTGAGAATGTTGCATAACTTTAAGACGAGAAACAAGACTCGTTTTTTTTTTTCGCTCTGAAGAGCGGACATGAAGAGGAAACGCCCATTCAGAAATACCATTAGTTATGCAACGCTTCCGAGTGGAATGCTATGGATTATTTTACGAGTGACATGTACTAAAGATTTTGTACTCGAACCTCATTTCGTGAGCTTATAATAAGAATATACAAGCGATAAGTGGGATACTCCAGACTTCATTTGAACACCTTTGAACCCTTCCTATCGTCATAATCTTAGGAACATTTTAAAAACTCTTTTGAAACGTTTATGAATTATGAGGTATGATAGAATACAAAGATTACATGCAAATATAATTATTTAAGTCAAACACGTGAAAGAACCTGGAAATAGATGAAGCCGCTCATTTAATTTGGCGGAAATAAGATCAGTCTTAGCGCACGACGGGAAGGCTGGGTGCCAACAATCGAACATTTAGCAAAGATCGCACCTTGTATGAGGAACTAATGTTTATATCGAATAATTAAGATTGTATAGAACCTTGGGCAACAGTTATGCGAAATAGTAGTTTGTCTTATTTTGCAATACTCTCTAGTTTTATTGGTCAAATGATAGTAGCTTGCTAACTTACTCACTTAACTTACCTCTTTAATTTCATGCAGGAGGAGTGTTTTTTATCGCTGTTTTTGTTTTTAAGAAAATCAATGCGTTCATGCAGTTCACTCCACCTTTTGACATTGACTATCTCGTAATGCTGTGCTTAGTTTCTTTGTATCTATTGTAAAAGTAACCTCAATTTAATATTTATTCTACGAAGAAAGAAAACATCAACAACGTCATCACTAGGCAAGCATGAATTGATACAAAGTGGTGTGAACATTGAAGACCACAAACTTTAAGAAACAAAGGAAAAGGCAACATTTAGTATTATTCGAACTTCATCACTGATAGTTGGGTCGGCGTTTGCATGAAAACTGCGTGCGAGACAATAGGCCTGTGAGCTAGGACCAAAGGTCATTTACACAGTTTTTCATTTGATAGCAGAGACGTACCTTGCACTTTTCGTTGTCTCGTGTTTGTTCGTCATTTATCGACTCTAATTTGATCTTTTTCTCAAAACCTATTGTCTGTCGATTAGTCTGTTTTGGTGCGGTGCCAAAAAGCAATTGGCCAGACTTGAATAAGGTACGAATGAGGTAGCCTCTTCTGACGCGTGAGGGCTAAGTCTGTTTGTGGCCTTATTTCTCTTCAGTTCAAATCCTACTCACCTTGAAAACACTTAACAGCATTGACATCAGTTAAAGGTGAATACGTTCTCAGGTTATGCCATCGCATCAAAACACGAGAAGGTATGATATATGAGTGTATTTTTTAAAGCCTACGATAAGAATATTTATTTGTTTATTATTATTTTTAAACAGTTGAGATCTCTTCCATCTGCTACGTTACCATTTGTCTATGTGAAACAAATTTATATTTTGAATCGTAAATAAAAAGCCTGCGATGAGAATATTTATTCAGTTTTTTTTTTTTACTATCATAAAGTCTTCATTGTGCTTCGTTACTTTTTGTTTGTGAAAAACATTGGTACATTGAATATTGAGTAAAAAAAAGAAAAGAAAAAGAGAAAAGTGAATCCAAAGTGGAATGAACACCAGCAAAGACTCTGAAAGGAAAATTTATAGCGAGCGAAGCACGCCCCTCTTATCTAACTATACTTTCTAGTTTAAGAAGTTGAATGTTGAATTATGGACTTTGCTCGAGGCGTGTCTTTGATCAATTGATTTCTTTGCTCCATCTTTTGACACTTTCTATCTCATGGTGTGGGGCTTTGTTTTCATTTCTCCATTAACGAACTGGCGTCAATTGAAAACTTTCTTCAAAGATAAGTATATACATATATTTATATATACCAACCAAAACTGTAATAATGGGCAATCACATGTGCAGGCAAAGTGACTTGAACAGGAGAAAAGACCACTAACTTAAAAGAACAGCAGGCGGAAGTTTATTCGAACTTCGTCACTGATAATTATATTACAATTCAGGGCGAGGTACTGGATGCAGTGGTAAATGTGAATTGCTCGCCTAATTGCCTTCTCGTAAGCTAAGACTAATTTTCCCTACACAGCTCTTTGGTATAATTTTGGAGGCGTATCCGTCAACCATTTTTCCCATATCTTTCCTCAACTGTTCGACACCAACTGTAACTACGTGCAACTACACTGTCTATCTGTTTGTTTGATTTGGTGTGATGCCAAAATACTTGATAAAAATTGCGGTTTGAACTTGTCTTAAGCGCCATGTGGCCGGAATTTTTTGTGGGTTTTGCGGAAGCGTGTGGCTTTTCTTTGACGTTATTTTTATTCAGATCGATCACGTTCAATTATCTGTACAAACGAGGAGCAGCACAATATAATTTAAAACTGGTTAACTTGTGCCAGTTGACAAAACGTTTCGTACGATCGATGTAGACATTACTTTTAGAGTCTTCTTTTAATTTGTTAAACAGGCGAGATCTCTTCACTGTGTTTTGTTCCATTTTGCTAATGTAAAGCTAACGTATATATTGCGAAAAATTCTAATTATCTAAGTAAATGACAACCTCTAGCTTACTAATTCAGCAAGAGGCGTGTTTTCTGGTCTCTGTCTTTCTCTTGGCGACGCAATGCTTTCATTAATTTTGTTCCACTTTTTGACTCTTGCTTTCTTATAAAAGTGTGCTTTGATTCCTTTTCTATAGTAAAAGAACCAGCTTCAAGCGGATATATTTAAAAAAAAAAAAGAGAAAGAAAACTAGAGAAAAAAGCAATTTAAGTACGTCAACAGTTGGCAAGCTCACTATGAAAACTGATTGGAATGTAAATTAGCAAAAGCACAAATTTTGGGAATTAAAAGGAGAAGAGCAACGTTCTAGTTATCTGAGCAATATCCACGCCTTTCAGTTTTTTCAGTAAGAGAAAGGATGGAGTTTGCATAAAAATAAGCATTGCGAAAAGCGTACTGTCTTTGCACAGCTCCTTAATTTCGTCATGTAGGCGCATCCCTTTTCATTTTTTCCCATGTCTGTTCGACTTTGACCGAATTAAACTCCCTTCAAGACCTATTGTCTATCTGTTGATCTGATTTTGTGCAGTGCCAAAAACAATCGGTAAGGAATTGTTTGAGGAAGAGCTGAAACTAGTCTTGGGCCCTAGGAGACCAGGCAATTGCGTACTCTGCGCATGCCCTTAGGTTGCTTATCACGTTAAGTTTTGTTCACTCACGTTTAACAGACCTCAAAAACATTGAAAATTATTAATATCAGGTAAAGTGAATACGTTATACCAACGCTCAAAGCATGAAAAGGTATGATGTATGTGCATATTTCTTTACGAGCCCTTGACGTAAGTGCCGGTATTTCATATGTTTTTCTATATTACATAATGTCTTTGACGATGGCTCCAACTGAGTGCGTGTTTCAGGTTTTATTTTAAGTTTAAAGTTTGCTACTCTGTTTGTCTTTCAATAACGATGTGTTCATTTTTCATTGACATATGAAGTTCAAAAAGAAACTTCCTATTTCGACCGAAACATTCTTCAGTGTTGCAGAAAAATCTCAGAGCTTTTACACGTCGCGGGTCGCGTGTCATTGTAGTGCGTGCCGGCTAGTGCACTTCAACATTTATTTCATTGACATTGTCGAGAGATAACGTTCGGACAAGGTAGCAATTCAACTCTCGTTTATTTGTTTGTTCTTTTCTAAGTAGTTTGCCAGAAGGACGCGAAAACGGCATTTATTTTTAAATATGTACGCTTTGTCTTTCCTGTTTATTCAGATTGTGTCAGTGATACCTCTACCAGTGAGGGAAAGGGGGTGTTTCTCCCAAAAGAACTTTCCAGTCACTTAGCGTTTACTTAATTTTCTTTTATAGAAATCCACAAGTCAGTACAATGGGAAAGATTCTTCGCTGCATTAAGCAAAGAACGAATGACGTTCTCCAATGGGCTATTAACTGGCTGGGGCTCAATCAACTTGGCGCAGACAGACCTTTCATGACACTGTTCCTGGCGGCATTTCTCGTCATTGGATTTTTGCCAATGATGATCTATGTGGGGTTCACGATTGTGTCCGTTTCCTTGGGCGTTTTCCTATTGGTTGTTATCGAAGGGGGGATCATTATCGTGGCAACAGTAGTGTTATTGGCCTGTCTAATCATTCCAGCTTGCATCGCAGGCGGAGTATCTGCTTTTGTCTGTGCAATCTACTTTGCTCTTTCTCAGATGAGACAACTTGTAGATACCGCTGTGAACGCTCCGCAGAAGCTGTTTTCTTTTGACAGGCAAGTAACAATGGATGAGAAGCCGAAACTTGTCCACGGCAAAGCTCGTTTCAGGCGGGCAAGAATTTCTTATACCCCTGACAATGACTCTGACAGCGAAAGTGATGATGTTAAAGGATCATTTCGATACCAAGCCCACTGGGTATTTGGAGCTGATCGTGTTCGTGCTTAAACATCGATAGATCTCTGATAGTTACAAACGTTGGCTATTGATAAAAACTTTCACTGTCTTTAACAAGCTCTATTATCCACTGCACAACGTAGAAAACAAATAACGCGCAAATCGAGTACAAATATCCCCCGGTATTGTACGGTTAATTTAGAAAGTTGGTTATTTTGTACTGTAATCCAACGCAAGCGTTATGCGAGACCTGTCACAAGCCGTTTCTCTGTTTACGTCGCTTTTCACGCCTTCTTAGAAATGCATCTAAAATAAAGCAGTTGGATGATAGATAGGCTATTACACGTTTTGGTGTGTGGTATCGCTGAGGGTTTTTTTTTACTCGTTTGTGCTTTGACTCACCCTGCGGGCTCATCAAAATACGGCACATCTCGGGAAAAATACGCAACGATACTACAAATCAAAACGTCTAATGAGATGTGTGCATTGCTTGATACAACTGGAAAGTTACGTATTTTGTCTATTTATTATAGATACATGCACATTTTAATGATTTTGTTCATTTACACTGATTTTCTTTGTATTTGAGAAAGAAGGAATCATGCTTACTATGGTTGGTCAATTCGCCGTTTTCTTTTTGTGTTTTAGGGAACTCTATGGGTACATATTTTTTAGGATGAGGGTATTAATAGACGATAAAAAGGACATCGTATTTGTGTAATTATAGAAAGAGACTGTAACCTGATAAAAGATAAAAAAAAAAAACTCCTTCAAATGCGGCCGTCGTCTGGGGTTTGTCGTTGTTTGAGTGTTGCTCGTTGGTCTCCTCGGATTGCGCGTAAAACTAGGTTCTCAGGGGTATATACAGTTGTGTTTATTGAGTTACGTATCTCAGAAATTGGAAATTGGACTGAATTGGCTCACTTTCAACAAGTAGTTAGAACGTTCAACAACTATTCGCTCTGACAAAAGGCTAAGGGTTGAAACGTCAGCTTCGGAAACTCTTTACGTTGGCCAAATTGCATTATCATTTCAATTGATAAAACCAAACTTTCTATTGTCTGAAGGGCTCGGGTTCAAATCCCGTCGGAGCCTGGATTTTCTGTAATTGCAGCTCATCCGCGGAATCAGAGCTTTACTAGGTAGGTGGATTGGTCGCTTGGTGAGGGTTCCTTCTTTCGGTCTTAGTTTTATCTATAACAAGAAAACAAATTTCTTTATTGGCTTTGATTGTGATGAGGGTTGGACTTCATTTATAGTGTTAATTGCTTTCTTTCGTAGGTTCGGAGGTGAAGCTCGCAGTGTGAAGTCCGCAGAGGAACAAGACTAGAAGCTGAAGTTGGTTGTATAGAATGTTAAGTGACTCCTGGCATAATAGTTCATTATTACCGCTTTGATTTCACAGACGATTTCTATGGTACGGATCTGTGCTATGTTTGGGGAATAATGTCTTCCTTTCCAGAGAGGAGAACGTTCTGAGTGAGGTAGCGCTTTGCTGGACTTTGTTGATTGAGGAGATCGACGTTGTTTTTGTTTTGTCACTCAAATTTTATCCACTTTGTATGTCTAGAATTAATTAGGTTATCATCAACAGAATGAGATTTTTGATGTATGAAACTCAACAGAATAAAGATAAACTTGATAATTGTCTTTGGTTTTTATTGGTTCCTTAAATGGATGCTCTGATTTGCTTATGGTGAATTGAGGCCCTTTCTCTCATATGTTGTTCGCTTGCTCGGTTATGGTACGTTTGAAGTCAGAATGGCTCCTAGGACAAACAAATCTCGAGGATTTTGGATCAGTTGTCGTTCAATGAACGTGAAACGGATGTGATGGCGGCTCTCTGCCAGATCATACGTCTGTTGTCCAGATTCCTCGCAAATTAACGGGCTCTTGGCCCAAGGTTTTGGCATACACGATTGAAAATAGGAGATCAACCAAGGGTAAAATTCATAACTACATAAATAGGCGTTGTCTTTCGGCTTTCAGTGTAAATCCTTCCATACGATAATATGCTATACTATAAGCAAATATGTGCTAAATTATAATGTACAAAAAAGATATAAACGATATGAAACAGTGTGCTGTCGTTCATTACTTCACGCTGCTCCAATGATATTTCTTCTAGGTTACCATGTCCTTGTAACTAAACAAATCACATTCTATGTAGTTCATGGCAGAATAATTTCAGATAACTTGGTGGGAATGTTAAAAAGTTTAACGTAGTCATTTCAAAACTCGGTGAAATCAAGAAACTAAAGCATTCGATCAACCAGTAGTGTGAAATTACTCAAAAGCGGTAGTGGCCAGTTGTAGAGCAAAGAATCATTTGGATATGACGGAATAAGCGGACAACAGTTGTCTAAGCTAAGCAGAATTTTTGATTGCGAAAACATCTGATTCTCACGAGCGTTACCGGCAGGCAAGATGCCCTAATTTACTAGTAGAACTTACTCAAGGATGAGTCTTCGCTAAAACTCGTGGATCCTTTATAAATGTTTTCCTTATAACCGGAAACAACAACTCATGTAGCACGATCCACACATGAAATCACCCCAGTAACATCATCAGGGACGGTCAAGTTGAAATCTCAGATGCATGAATGCTACATCGAAGGAACACAACAACTGGAGAGCCATGCGAGAGCGTACTATCTAGGGAACGCTTCCTCGAAATGCGCCAATCATAGAGGTTTATACAAACCAATCACAGCTAAATATAATGGTTCAAAAGGTGATGCATACCCTATACCTTTCCAAAAAAACTCAAACTAAGTTGTCGAAACGTCGCGATCAAATACGGAAACAATCACATCGTGAGACAAACGATGGTGCTTATTTGAAATGTTTTCACCGCCATGAATAACCACTACCTTTCCTTTTGCGATGTTATCTCATGTAATGGTTGAATGTACCTACGCTTTTTGCTTATTCATAATTCGAATGTCTTTAAGATATTATAGCTGTTAACAAGCCACCATTAGAGCCACTTATATGATCAAAATAAGCTGCGGCGTGCGAGAGTTACGACCTGCTAAAGACGCGACTTGCACCATTTCGCTATTAGGGCATAAACAAGTTGACTGTGTTCTCTATTTCTTTATTGCAAATCTGTAAAAAGAACCTCACATTGCCCAAAATTTTGAAAATTTTATCATAATGTCTTACTCTCCCAGAGCTTGGATGTTGAGTGTAGCGAGTCATTGCTCCAAGGCATCCACTACGTATCTATTTTGCTTCAATCTCACCCGAGTGAACTTACTTTCTGTGCCCTGTTTTTTTTGTTTGTTTTTTTTTTTGTCGGGTGTTACTTCAAAATTTTTAAATCACTAATTTTAAGAGAAACTGATCAGTGCAATTCAATTTTTGGGGCGTTAAAGGCATTTGTTGTCGTATAGCGGGCTGAAATTAGTTTAATTAAAATGATAAAAAAATCTCGGTTCAATTATTTACAACGGAGTCAAATTGTCTAACGGTAGGGGTAAACAAAAAAAAATAAATTACAGAGCATAATACACTGTGCGATATGCTTGCGCTATACCTTTTAAAGCGTTTCTCTGATATAAATTGTACTTGTGATTTTTTGTTTAATTTTCGATATTCCGCTTTGAATTACATTTGTAGATGTGATTTGAATTCTGTTTCATTCTTTCATTCAATAACTGTAATTGTAACTAAACTTAAGTATTTCAAACAAACAATATTTAGGAAATCTGGTTTCCTGCATGTACTGAAATCGGTCGAGACAATAATTCAAGCTGATCTTTTGAGACACAAACGAAATGGTAGAATTCAGATTTCTCTCTTACCATGAACAAAGAGTTTGAAACTTGCAGTTCCGCTGATTCAAAGAATGTAACCGAGCAATTTTTCATTTCCCCTCCCGAATCAATTCTCTAAAATTGTTTAAAGATTCCCGCTGAGATGAGAATTAAAATTTGCGCAACTGTTCATCATAGAAACAAAATCTCAGGGATTTATCTTGAGGGCACATGAAGTTTCTGTCATTTTTATCTTTTGTAATATTTTTTACTATTGTAATTTCGAAGTGTGCTGAAAATCTGAAAGCGGGAAAAATTCAGATGTATACAAATTCGATAACTTAGAGTGTCAATGTACTAACTCAGTATTACTCAAAACCAAAAACGAAAATAGAACCTCGCGCCTTCATCGACTGATTTGATTTCCGCGTTAATGAATTATTTTCACAGTCGAAACTTTGGGTGCCAAATCAGAGATGACCCGGAGATCAGATTTGTGCTCAGCTCTGGCAGCTGCAAGACGAGAACTTTGAAAAATACACACTGACGAGCGCTGTTTTATGATCGCAGAGAGTGCGATTAACAAGTGTATAAAGAGTTTTTTTTTCTAGGATCTAATTTTCCGGCACTTTTAGCAACTGCATATATTTCGCTGAATAGCTTTTCAATCTTTAAAGTTATTGTTCACTCACCGTCTGCATCTGTTAAAAGAAATGACGACCTACGAAGAGGTATTACTTAATTAGGAAGACGGAAACTAAACAACATTAGATTGTAAAAAGCCTGGGGTATCGTTGCTTGTTTAACTTATGACAGAAAATCAAAGGGTATTGAAACGCGAAAAGGAAAAACTCTCGCCGAAGCCTCAGCTTACTTAAATAGTTTTCGCTTTTGAATGGATTCACTTTGTTGAAAGTTTTGGATTACAGTCAACTGAAAGGTATCAAACCCCCTTTTTATCATTATTGTTATTTGTTATCGAAATAACCACAGCATCTGCTTTGAAATCGGCAAAATTAAAATCATTGCAAGAAAGAGATTGAAAAATGTGTAAATTACTCCTAATTAATCGCGGCCGAGAATTGAAATACAGTATTTTTTAGGTTGGTAGTTTCTATGTATTTCTCAGCCTAATGTATCACTCAGTGCATTCAATAAGTAATTTTCTTCTACTCCTGATATCCGCCCGGCCTCAGTTATTAACGAGAACATTTGTCAAGATCTTGTGCGAGTTGAAAACACCTTAATGCCTTCTTTTGTGTGTACATAGTGCTTAACTGTGTTGCAAGGATTAGGTGACAGCCCACTTTTACCCATTAATTTATTTATGGAAATGTAAAACTACTTTCAGAGCGGCACGCACGCAAATCAAAGTACTGGTCTGCTTTGACGTGACGCAGAGTGGATGATATCGACTTCACAATAAATGACGGGTGAGTTTTATAAGTGCATTAGATGAGCTCAAAAAAATCGCATTAAAATGCACCACTCTTATGCTGAATAAGTATTAGTCACACGAGCGAATATCATATATTGTTTTTCTTTTTTTTCACATGCGCATTAGTTTGTGGTTTTTTATTTTTCTTAACTTTTGTGATAAGTTATGTGCACATCAGGAATGAGGGACAACTTTCCAAACTTTTTTTTTACGACTCTTAGTTTTGGTACAATAAAGTTTTGATTCGTTTGCGGTTTTGATTTTAAATCATATTCACCCCATTTCCGTGAGTGCGGGCACATATCACTTACAGAACTTTTCAAACATGCAAAATCTACTTCTTTCATTCTGGCTAATTTATTATCACAGATAGGATTTTGCATAAATAACAATGTTTTCAAACTTGTTTTGTAACTATTTCTTTCTCTGTGTTTTTCTTTATGTCGTTATTTTCAGGAATGTGTTTTACAATTTGTTCTAGTACTTTCCACGCTAGCTGTAGAATGTAAACAACACTCTTCTTGACTGTTCTATCTTTCATTTTAACGCTGCATTCTGCTATTTCGATAATCTTCTCAAAGCACCTGGTCTTTACGGAGATCATTCGAAGGACTAGGTAAAGTTCTCAGCGAAGAAAACAAATCGTTACAACTGCAATGTTATCGTTGACCAGAATTAAACCACAAACCATACCTCGTGAATGACAGCGGGATCATGCAAACTCATGCGAAATAAAACACCACATTTGTTCAACTGAGATTCGATGCTAAAGCTTAAATGGTGCGGGGCAATGCAAATAAATACATTAAATGCACGCCTTCATCACCGCCTCAATCACAACTGCTATCTTAGTGGCACGAGTGATGAATGTCTATGGTTATTGTTGAGTGAGGATCACAGGATTCATTCGTACTTTCCGCTAAGTTCGGTCGGCAATTTCATATGTTATTAGTTTTATGGCAGCTAAAGTGAGTTTTAGAACTTCGTTTAGGAAGAAGCTGTTTATGTGAATCAGCTGACCGCGGGGAATCTCACTCGACACAAACAGAGCGAGTGCAAAAGTAAGTGAAGTAGTGATTTCTGTTCCACAAAATTTGAGTTCTTATGCGAGTTGCTCATTTTGGAAGTCAGCACAAGTAACGTAAACGCTAGTATTTACATGTAGGCTGTTTTATGCATCAAACTTAATACTATAGAGCAGAAAAAACTGCGCCTAAGTCAAACTTCCACTGGTCGTCTGTTATTTGTAAAAGTTAGCTGTGATTGTCACAGGTTTACATATATTTTTATTGAGATATTTTTTTTATACGGTGGAAACCCGTATGAAATGCGCCATGAAATAAGTCCGCCCGGAGAAAATTTGCCCAATTCAGTACTGAATCCCTGTAGTTTCTCGTCGTAGAATTGTGACTGATCCAGATTATTTGCTGAAAAAGACTGCCATTAGATCCTATTCTCAATTATGAATCGATTGAAAAAAAAATTGCGTACATGTCAAGTGTTAATCGCTTAACCCGACGGCCTCAGTTAAAAGCACATTAAGTAAACGACAAGGTATTCAGGGCGCCAGTAGATATAAGTAGATTAGCTGGAAATATGGCGCCGTGAAGGCGTGGACGGAAAAAAGTTTTCCCATTCTTATATAGTCATCCCATGGGCCTTGGTTTTGGTGCATATACTCTCGAAAAAGCTCTTTAGCCTTTCAATAGGTCGTTAGTGAAGCGCGAATCGTAAATATTCAACCACTATCGACTTCCTCATCTGACTGACTTCCTCCAGTCAAATTTTCCGTTTAATCATAACCAGACAGTTTCCTGCAATAGTGTATTTGAATTCTGAAAAAAACAACTCAATTCGTAGACTGCTGCAAGTGCTCGAGTAAGTGAATGCCATTTTTTTGCGCCTATTATGAGACGGTACGCATCCTAAAAAATCTACACTATCCTTTCGGACTGCGAAATGGTCTTCCTTGCACTTTTTTTTCCCATTGGTTTGTTGCTTTTTCGTAATTCATGATTTTTATTATTTTTTCTTTGAATGCACGAGACCATTCCTCCCTCGTTTTCCGTCACATTTAGCGATACGGTAATTTATAATAGGTCTTCCTCCAGCTTGTGCAGTTTTCCGCTTCAATCTTGAAAAACTCCTGCCGGTAGTTTTCAAATGTTTTTTTTTAATGTATTTGTGAGATGCCTCGAGCATAATTCGCATCTGATACACAGATGTTTCAGAATGGAGACCAGCTTTTTCGTAGAGGAGAGAAAGTAAGTTTTTAACGACGCTATTCTTAGCTTCAACTCAGATATTCCTTGATTGATAAATGAAGCATGCAGCTGACTTTATGAAACCTTTCTCAGGAAAATTAAACAGTCTTTGAATGGCATCACGAATCCGCTAATTTCATTTCTTCAAGTCAGTCTCTTTTGTACCGTGAACTTTTACATGACAAAACCGAAATTAGCCGTACCTTTAAATTTTACAAATGGGAAATGAGCCGAATATACTCGTTTTCAATTATTACTGAAACAAGTGATGGAAAACATCGATTTAATGTTTCTCCTGTTTTTGCTGTATTTGGCTAGTCAAAATATAGAGTGGTGGACGGACAAAAGCGAACGCATAGTAAATTAAACTGTGCTCGTTTTCATACACGCATAACCGTTTTTCGCTATATTAACAAGGCTTCTTTCGTCAAATAACCAGTAAATTTCATGCACCACTCAGTGCAAGCCTTCTTACGGTTAATATTTGGTCTCTTTCGATGTCAGTCAAATTTTAGAATTTCTTTTCCGAGTGTAGCAAAATGCAATTTCAGTCTCCTAAACCGCTCGGAGCTGCGTCTATTCCTTTTGCTCGTAAACAAAGCTCATTGAGTGAATTCAATAGACATACACAGCTTATATTTGCACTATGCTGGTAGAGGAACAGTATTTTCCTTCATATGTAAGCACGGATTAGTGACAATGTTTTGTCGGAATCGTGTATTAGCTGAAATTGATAAGGGAGTACATTTCAGTTAACGATGCAAGAAGCTACTTCCCTACTAAGAGCTTATAATATCAGTAGACGAACACACACACAAAAAAACCGTAAACACCATGCGTTATATCTTGGTTTATATTACGCTTTTTTCATCTTGCTTGTCTCAAACAATTTGAAGCGGCGAGGCAAAGTAAAATACTCTTGCAAAGTCGAAGCCTCGCTAATAATTCGAAATTCATTAAGGCAAACTTGTTGTCTCAACAAACCTTTGTTTGATGATCAGTGGTAGTTCATGTTTCGCTTTATCAAGGATGCCCCTGCAATAATTTTACAAGCTTATTTCAACTTGTCAACCGCGTAGCCGTAGGTTGATTTTGCTGTCCAATAATTAATGCTGCTCTACTCCATAATAATGCTAATGTTTTCATCAGCATTTTGACACCGTCTATTCTAAGTTTGGTTGTCAGCATGATAGAGAACAATTCTTAGAGATCTTTTCGATGTTTCGTTTTGTTAGGCAAGTTGTGAACAGAGTATTTTCATTCCTTTATTTGTTCACATTACAAATAGCAAATGTGTGTAATTAAAAAATGAATAAAACGTGAATTTTTCGCTTACTTTAAAAGCCGATCGAGCAAGTGAAAATTCTTGTATTGGACGTAAAAACTGAAGGGATAGATTCTCGCTCTGTATTCACTGTATTCATGGTAACACCGTCAAGAATTTCCATTGAAATATCCATCTGTGGTTGTTGGTTTTTGTGGTTGCAATATAGCAAAATGTTCAAAAAGGATTAAGAGCCGTCAAAGAAAAGGAGAAAAAAATATATGGATATCTGTAAAGCAGCCAATTCAAGGATGCTTTGAGTTTCTTATCAACTGAATGGAGATCACTCATAATCTGGCAGCTGCTAGCCACATTGTCGAACAAGAAATTTCACAAAAACTGTTAATTATCCCACTGTTTAGGGGAACGCGAACGGTTATTAAGATAAAAAGATAAAAGATAAACCTCTCCGCCATTTATACGAAACAAAAATAAAACGAAGGTGCCTGCAGCCAGAGGATTTATAGAGACCATTGTTGATATAAATTATCCCCAAGGATATACGCACGCGAAGATGAATTAAAGAACCGTTTAAGCTTACTCCAGAAAGCAATGTTTCTTTGCAATATCGCATTACAATGAAACATGAAATTTAAATGGGGAAGGCTTTTCATCAGAGAAATAAAACAGACTGAAAGTTATTTTTATTGAGATTGTCAGGGTGCATGAAATTATAAGCTTAAACGAAGCCAACCATCTTAGACTCACATTTTAATATTAAATACCCTCATAATCAATCAAACTAACATTTATAACCCGCTTCGAGGTTGATATCCAAAAAAAAAAAAGATCAAAGACAGAGAGATTCACAAGTCAAGCGACAAAACTTACACTTCAATTTTAGTCGTGATAAATATATGTGTTTTATTAAGAATCTTTCGCCGAATCGTTCGCGATGTTTTATCGGCTGTTTTGTCATGTTTTCAAAATCAACTTCTCTATTCTCTTTGTCGATATATTTTTCTAGTTTTAGAGGAAAAAAAACAAATGAAAATACAAAATCAAACGTTACAGTCTTTAAATAACTAGAAATATTAGGATTTCATATTGCTGAGAAAAACTAATTTTTTCCCGTTGCGTCCTAATATGTGTGATTTGCATTAAAATGCTTAAAGGTGAGTAAAAAGGGTCTTATCTTACACACAAAACATCGGTTTGTATTCATTAGTATTTCTGCATCAAAATTTTTTCCCAATTTCTTTCGGGAGAAGCAATTTTCTTGAGCTGGGACGCGATTATTTAATCTAGAAGGCATCTTGTTTGGTTTCTAGTCGTGTTAAGTAGCTTAAGTGCTTTTAGCAAAGAAATTGTTTGCCTCATCATAATTTTGCTTATTAGTCAAATATTAATTCATCATTCGTGCGTAGCTGGAGAATGGCCGCGCTGCGGGACCCATTTTAGGACAATAACCGGTTTTACTCATTCGGAGTTAATTTCCCCCGAGGGGTTCGCGATAATAATTCGAAAGAAACCCACAATTGCTCGAGAAAAAAAGAAAGAAACAGTTGTTTAACGGCGCCGATGACAATGAAATTGTCGAAGAAATAGTCAACACGGACGCGCGCCTGTTCAAGTTTCTTGAATTTACGGCTGAGGTAGTGCTGATGTAGCCTCCTCTTAATTGCCGGTGACTAAGATTAAAAGTACGTACAGCTTAGTCGAAATGAACTGATTAAAAATCCCGAAAAGATTCACTTCCGACGATAATTTAAACTCTTCGAAGTGAATTATTGAGAGAAAAAAAGAATAAGCGAAGAGCGACCGGGTGGCGATTTCCCATACTGTGAGGGTTGGATTTTCAACCCCGCACTTAAACATTTTTTTTTAAATTTAATAATATAACATTTTCGTTTCGCTTGGACGGGAAGCAAATCAAAACGAAGAGACAATATTACGCAGATTTGCACGGCTTACTAATGGATGTAGTTAAAATGCCTCGTCCGCTAAATCTGAAATCAATTACGAATCAGTCTCTTGTCACATCAAGCACTTCAATTCGCAAGTTCTTATGAATACCCAGCTCTAATTCTACATTCATTAGTAAGATCCCTAGAGCGCAATTTCTTGAACTTAGCTGGAAAACGATAGAAGAACAGAGTTCGATATGTTTTTATTGGCTTGTTTTAATCGGTTGGCACATCACCACAGTAGAAAAATCATAAGGAACACAGAATTCACACTTCCTCCATAACTGATCGATCATATCGCAGTGTTCATTAGCGCGCGACAGCCAAAATGATTGCAAACAAATCGCATCCTGTCGGGATTAAAGGGTGAGCAAACGTTTCTGAATTTAATAGTCACTTTACACAACTTAGCGGTGAATTCAGAGCAAGCTTCGCTGAACATGAATTTGATTTCGCAACACGCATTCATCTTACGAATTAATTTGATTAAATTTCTGTAAAGAAGACCTGCTTGCACCTGTTGCAGCCTTGGTAGAAGAATAATGAGCTTTCTCCCACGTCCGTGATAATTAGCGCGTCATCGTTCTCCCCCGCAGATTAAAGTGGTGTTTTCAAGTGAGATCACTCCGTTTGACGGATCCAAACACCGTTTATTGTGCGACCCAATGACTGTAGCACGTGGATCATTCATGGATAAACACACATCAAAGACTAAATTTATCATATAAATAATTTATGAAAAACAGAAATAAACTCCAAGATTTCCCTTCCCGTCCCAGCTTGTGCGGAAACGGGCTGATAAGAGCATTTTAAACGAAACGTGATCAAAAAAACGGCTCGATATAACAACATCGGTTATCGCAAAAAGTGTGGTTTTCTGTATCGTTTGAACTGAAGTTGTGTTTTGACTGGCTCTTTCCTTAATGACCTCCCTCCCATCATGGGCAGTTAAGAACGCGGAAAATCCGACGAAGTAGACAGAGAACAATTGAAATCGTTTTATCAAACCGCTAATGACGAACTCCATTCTGAGCTTGGCACCACCAAAGGAGCCACAAATCTGACAAAGCGGGCGATGTCCGTCAGTTCTATCAGCCAATCAAACGCTCGCTCCTTGCGCTTCGCGCGTGTGCGCCAAAACGTTGTTGCTATGGTGTTCACCTGCCGCATCTACTACCGCTGTGATAGGTTTTGTTCTTACGAGTTTAAAAAGGCATGACATCAAAAAATGCCTTTATTGTAAAACGACCGCTTCAAGTCGCTTTTGCACTCGAGACAACTCACAGATTTCTTGAGTCGGACTCCGCCGAGCGAGATCAAAAGATGCCTAAGTCATTCTTGGTCAAAAAGCGGGTAGCGATAACAGCTTGCATAGACTCCCAAGAAATCCCAGACACTGAGATAAAAAGCGAATCTGGTAAGGTGCAAGGATTAGAGTTGCTCTTTTATGGAAGGGTTTTAATGGTCATGATTTATTTTTCCGTGTGATCGAATTTTTCGAGACAGACATTCAGTACTTCAGATGTTCAACCGGTTATTCTACGAAAAAAGTCTTTTTGAGGTAATTTTAACGCAAAGCTAAATGAAAGTCAAAATAGAATTTGCTAAGGAATTTCTAAGGAACAGAATCGTGCACCCGGCTGTAGGATTTTTTCTTTTATTGGTGTGAAATCATAACTGATAAATTGGGGATTTATCTTATTCGAGATTGTTCACAAAAGCGCAGTGTTCTGTGAAAACTAAATGCGGTCAGACTTTAATGGATCTGAATATTCAGGCTTTATTTTCCATCTTGAGTGCATGATGATTTAAACACGCGCTAGTTAACCGTCAAGTTTTCTCTTCTTTCTTTTTAAGGACAAACAGCTGAAATGGTACGAGATGACTCGGAGGAGAAAGAGACGAAAAGCGCCCCATCAAATAGACCTTTTGATATTGTAAACTTATTCGCGCCCGATAAGCTGACGAAAAAGGAGACCAGTCTTACACAGTGGAGACCCTTCGTTTCAAATAGACCAAATATGGGGCTAATGGAACCGAATGTACTTTCTGCAAATGGTAATTATAATTTTTGACTTGTTGCGTATCAGTTTGGGTTGTTAAGCGAACGCCGGTCTTAAAAGCCCGTTTTCCTTAAGTAAATGAGAGCTCTTAAAATCAGAGCAAGAATATTTGCCTCGCATTAGTATAACTCTTATCGCATTGGCGACATTAGAATATTTTTCTCTGTCTCATGATATATTGCCAGATGGTGAAGTATTTTACTAAACTTTCAGCAGAAAATTTGCTGCTTGAATTAGGGGTATAAATTCGGAACGCGCCTTCGTCGAAATTTACATATGAGAATTCTTGGCCCATGTAGTTCTAGTTTTAATTTAGGAAATCAGAACTCGCGAATTGCCGTAATAAGGCACACAGGAAATGATCCCGCTTGCATATAGACTTTGCGTGTAAATAGCGCGTATTTTCACGGCTCTATCATAGACAAGATTTAAAATCTGCAAACAAACCGCTGCAAATGGTGTAAAGTCGAGCGGAACACTTTTTATTTGATTACCAATCGCGTGCGAGTCTACAAGATGAAAATATTACTTGTATTGGGTTGCTGTATATCATAGAGCCACAAGACATTGACAAGTAAATAAAGATTAATTAACCCGGAGAAAAACCCTAACAATACCACAAAGACTGTATGTTTAACTCGCTGGAGTTTAATTGTTAAAACAGTGTGTATACTTCGACCTAGTGTTGAGTTTATTAAAAACAGCATATGAAACCAGTGCCACCTATAGAATTGTCTCCGTAAATTAAATTGGAACAGAGTGGCTTAAGCTCGGTCAGAACGGAAAATGAAGCTGAGAACAAACCAGAGGAAATGGAAGTGAATTCGTTTTGGTGCCTTTTATATTTTTCCGTTCAGATTAATCGACACAGAGGCTTAATTACGCCTCTTATTTAGAGGAAATATCACACAAAGTCATTTCTTTTACACTCCCTTTCAGCCATTGTTACCATTTGGATGGTTTGTTTCTTCCTCAATCAGGGCTAAAAACACCCTTTTAGAGTGTAAAATGAAGCGGTATCTATAAAGGGTTTTAATTTGAGTGAATCATCACTCAGCTTTTTTGAATTGACCCGGACTCTAGTGAAAAGGTTATTACAATAGGCCTCTCTAAACGAATTTTACATTCAAATGTTCTACGCAAACACTATAAAGGGAAAACTTATCAGGCGCGCAGATTGCCCGTCTCGTTTAGGATTTTTAAACATGTACGAGATCTCTGTATTTGAATAGCCCTTCCGAAAGCACTTTTGATGTTTTTGTTTGTTCGAACCTGGTCATAAATCACGAAAATTTAACGCTGTACTCCGTCATTAATCCACAGAAAAACACAAATCTTGAATCCAGTTTATTATTATTATTATTGTTATATTTTTTCGAGGTTCGTGGGATAGAGCTACAGAATTCATAAAGTTAACACAGTGTTTTTTCGTTATCTCTTAGGTGGCAGACCTTATCTTCCTCGCTTTTCAAGCCCATATACACCCGATGCGTTCAGTCCATTCCTTGGTTTGTCTCCTTTTGTACGTCTCCCGCCTCAGCCATTCTTGGGCGACCGCAGATTACCTTTTCCTTATTGGCAATCAACATTCTTTGCAAACCCTTTCACAAACTCGTTCGTGCGTGTCGGAAATGGAACAGAAAACGCGTTTAAACAGACTTTGCGTGGAACCACCCCGTCAAATGTAAGCGAGAAGAAGAAACCCGAACAGGCGTACAACGGTCAAACGTTCGATTGCCTCAACTGTAAGAAGGTTTTCAGCACACCGCATGGTTTGGAAGTACACGTGCGACGTTCGCACTCTGGACAGCGACCCTTTGCTTGCGACGTGTGCGGGAAAACGTTTGGCCATACAGTTAGCTTAGAGCAACACAAGAACATCCACACGAACGAAAGATCGTTCGAGTGTAAACAATGCAATAAGACTTTTAAGCGCTCATCCACCCTCTCAACTCACATGTTGATTCACTCAGACACAAGACCCTTTCCTTGCGACTACTGCGGAAAAAGATTCCATCAAAAGTCTGACATGAAGAAACACACATACATTCACACGGGAGAGAAGCCTCACAAGTGTCTGCAGTGTGGCAAGGCGTTTAGTCAGTCTTCAAATCTTATTACACACAGTCGCAAACACTCCGGTTTTAAACCGTTCGCTTGTCGCCACTGTGATCGAGCATTCTACCGCAAAGTCGATTTAAGACGTCATGCTTACACTCATGAAATGGACCCGCTAGCGATGAAAGATTCGCAGAATAATTTTTAGTGACATTTTCTGCTTTTATAATCTGTTAAACTAAAAATGCTAAACCAAGACATGATCTAAATTTTGTAGAAAAATTAACAATAATAATTATGATGAAATAAAATCCAAATAGTAGAGTTAATGACCTGGTCTTAATTCTGGAACACTTCTTACAATGAATTTGTTGCCACAGGAAAAAAAAGAGGAAGTTTGTACGTAAATAAATGTAGAGGAGATGCTCCTGTGGTGTATTTCAAATATAATACAAATCAATCGTTCGTATAATACAAATCAATGGTACGTATAAAAGCTAAGCTCTTTCTAAATCAAATTGTGTTTCCTTTTTTGAAAGCTTGTTAACCGTATCGTCTGCTTATATTAAAAGGAAGAAAATGTGTTGAATATATTGAGGATATATGCATCAGCCTTTTAATAAAATGTGATTTAAATTCTATCGCGAGCTATCCTTTTTCGATTTGCTGTTTGGTATTGTGAAATCCCATTTATTGTGTTCGTCGCTGTTGAATCGTTCATTAATTTATAATCAATAGACGAGGCAGTTAAAATTGCTCGTGTTTAACTTTCAGTCAATGTGATAAAGAGAAAAAAGAATTTAAATGTTCATGTCAAAACACACGTCTTACAACTGTTCCCGACGCGTCTATGAATGAATTTTGCAAATGCTAAAACCAACCTTTATCAAACTGTGTTAAAAAATTCATTGAAAGTTGAAAATCACTGTATACATCCAGTTGCATATTTGTTTAATTCTTAGGGACGGGTTTAATCAAGAAAAATATTCCAGAATTCAGAATTTCGACTCGAAATGAAATTCACATATATTTAATTTTGGTTCAGAAACTTTATCCGCTGTTCGAAAGTTTAAAACTTCACGTTGAGACATATGGACTTCCAATTTTTAGCATCAGAAAAATGTTTGCCGAATTCTGGGGGATGATATTCGGAAAACACCTTAGTTACTGCTACGTCCAGTATTAAATCGTTATTCTTCTTTTACATCCACTGGGTAAATTTTAATTTTTTTTTTTTGAATGAAATGTTCCTATTCAGAAGTCTGAAAGAAAACTTGTTAAAACTCTTAAAAACAAAGGAGATATTTAACAGATGCTCACACTGTGTCAATAACGAAACTCAACAAAGCGAAAATGTAAACAATACATAAGAGAATGGTAATGATCTGGTGGATTTAAGAAACAATTCTTTGAAAAAAAAACTTGCGGCGTTAAATTTGGCATAGAAATTCCGACAAGTCCATTTAAAATTGACTTGACCATTTTTTTCCATGGTTTACTTAGATTATAAAAAAACCCACTTCAATATTTAATAATTGCCGGACAGGCTGCACAGTTTTCTCAATAACGGAATTTTGGTTGCGTAAACACAAATGCAGTAGTGGTTTGAAACCCACAACACGACAAAGATAAATTTAGAACGAGGTAAACTTGAAAGAAGGAAATTATATCAAACAAAACCAGTTCGAAAAACATATGCTGTTAAAATGCCAAACTAAAATAATAAAAGATAAATTTCAAAGTGTCTAAAGTTGTCTTTATTTTTTGTCTCCGCAAAACTTTCGTCTTTAATTGACGAGTGTCTAAACAACTGCAAGTTATTGATTAATTCACGAATACGGATCACACTTACTGTCAACTGAAGTATTTTAATCGATTTGCGGTCTTTTTATGTTTGAATACGTCATGAAGTTAACTAAGATTGAAGTAAGTATAATGAGCACGAGATCGTGTTTTCAAAACAACTTTGGTTTTTTACATATTCCTTCCAAACGCTTTAAAACATATGTTTCTAGGTATTTATACTTCCAAATTCCTATCTAACATTCATTTCTCATCTGTCTCTGTCAAATATTACTCAAATCGAAAGATTCCGGCGCCTGCATGTCGTAAGAATACCAGCTCTTATCTCTCTTTCTTTCAGCCGGTTTGAAGGAAAGTTTTCACAGCCGTCTTGACAGACAATATTTATTACTTGTTCCAATAAAATCCGTTGAATCTTCCGCTGTTTAGGATGAAAGGTTGTGGATATAGAGTAAACTGTAATCATTAGTTGACGGAATCGTCAAGTTGCACGACTCAGGTGAAAAATATGGCTCTCACTTGCTGGAAAAAAAAAACAGGAAAATGAGAACAACAACAACACGCTCTTAACACAGCAATTCGTATTTCTTCACTATTTCCTAACGATCTCCCCACATTTAGGAGACCAAAGTACAGTATAGGAAAAAGAATAGCACTGCGGAATTTTTAATGTAGCTCTGTATTCATTATGTATTCACTCTCTCTCTTTCTTGGCATCGAAAAATCATAACAACAACAATCGGAAATAAAAGCAACGAAACCTGTAAAGTGGGTTCTTCGAAATTAAATAGTATTCCTTCCGTTAGAGGGGAAAACAAATGGTTGCAAACCAATTGTAAAGCACTTCATTTACGTTTATCTAATTTGTTTTGGGCGCGTGAAGAGTGGTGTGAATTTTTAAAGCACCAACGAACACTCCTGGCAGAGAAGAAAGAAAAACACCTCTTTCGCTGCCAGGCATTTATTCTTTTAAGAGTTTTATCCGTTATGGGTAAGGAAAAATCTTTGAACAACGATCACATACAATTTCCTGGAATCGGATGTGATGACTCTCAATAGAACAAGTTATGGAAGTAACACTCCGGAAAAGTAAATTTCTAATTTTTGACGCTTCATTGATAATTTTGCAAAGAGAGGAACAGATAAAGGAGTTCAATTAGCGCTGAAAAAAGGCTACGATTTAAACGAAGAAGCTCAAAATCTAATCAATGTTCTCTTCAGAAGAAATACCGGGTGGAAGACTTTTATTATTTCAAATTGATTTGAGAGATCTTTGGCTAAAAAATGAGCGGCAGGTTTCAGATTGAAATCATGTTGATATAAACGATATGAGAAATTCATTCCCGGCCACAGGTCAATCTCCATGCCTTATGCTCTGATATTAAAATCAGTGATTCGGAGTTATAATTTTGTTGTTGCTAAATTTTTTGTTTTGATCTAGTACACTCAAAGACGCTCAGGCAAATTTGTTCATTGCTCATTCGTTTGAAGGACTAAAGAAACCTTTTTCCATCGGAAGGTTTTACCTTTCTCATATTTTGCTTGTTTTAATGGAAATATTCCTGCACTTGGCAAGCGGAATAGAGTATTTTCATGATTATTATAGCATTAATAGGCAGTCCAGCATTTTTATCAGTCCTTTTTGGAAACAGATCGGTCAGACAAGATTATTATAAATTTGACCAGTATAGAATACAAGTTTATTTTAAAACTTGTAAACATACCTGGTTTAAGCAATGTTATTTTTCCTCTTATATTAATATCTCGTTTGAGAAATAGTGAGGAACCATAAACACCGTTCATAATATGCCAATGATCTCTTTAAAAATCCTGATGTGTCGCACGAAGTAAGCAAGTTTTTTACCAACACAGAATTGAAATTGTCGAGCAATAATTACATCTACGCTTAAATAGCTTTCTTTTTAGCCCCTAGGTAAAAAAAATAAACATATGATAGAGTAAATTTTCGAATCTCCAGGTTATCATAAATCAACTTTCAGGTGCCGCATTTCAGCATGGCTCACGCTGAAACATCTCAAATTCCGAAACGGAATTTCCGGATCTACATCCGTTTTTAGGATCAAAATATTATTTTGAAATATCTGTCTGGTGTGTTGCACTTTTCAACTTTGCGCAGATAGCACCACATGACATTTTCAGTTAGCATTGAGGGCCTCAAGACCGGTGAAAGTCTCAATAATTATCTCATAATTACCGATGCAGTATAAATTACTATTAGCACCTTGAAGAAAAAAAAAACCATGTTTGCCTCCTGCATATATAGAAGTGAAAGGTTTTCAGCACATTAAAATTGACGCCCTGAAAACTTTCGACGCATCCGTGCCCAAACATGCCGTTCCATTTTTTGAAACAGAATTTGATTCTCGAGCAATTTTGAAAATAATATTATACCTAAACACTAATAAAGATATGCAAGATGGCCGAGCTCAATCTAACAACAGCTTCACTCTTCACGTTAAATATTCTAAGGGAGGGTAAACGTTAATAATTCTATCTTAAGTAAAACATATTTCATTCAGGGGCGTAATAGTAATTGACAAGTAATTTTCTGGAGTAGTTTATTGGCGGTTATTCAACTTTCAGTTCAAGGCGCTGTTTTCATTGAAACCCCAGAAACGATCTTGTTCTATCCGTTTCCGGTGATTTTACGTCTATTTTATTTCGTTTTATGTCAACATTTTTTTTTGTAATAAAGCTAAACATCGGTTACAGTGTAGCCAGAAAAAAGTGGCACAATAAATTCTATGGCTTCTTTATATTTTTTATTGTTATTCAGTTTTATGCAAATGCATTAAAACAAGTTTTTGACGGAAAACTTTTTAGTTATGACAGTCGGAAAACTTTTCAAAGGAATAGAAATGAACTCAAAAGACGTCTTACATTATTTATTTACGTTTTTCTGTAGATATGACAAAGCTATATGCCAATTAACATGAATGAAGATACCAATATTGGTTCAGTTTAATTTCGAGTCATTTTCATGCCTGTTTACCAGGTCAGTTATTAACTTTGTCATTGATATTCTTTCACCTGCTTAAACATGAATTGAAAAATGAGGGATTTGGAAAGATCTTTGTTCTGTTTGGACTTTAAACGCTGTTATTTACCGAATGAGGCCCACACCGGCGTGTATGTCGCTGGGTTGTAAGTGATGACTTAGAACACTGCTAATGAGAGATTCGATCGATTCCAAATTCATGTATTACAAATAGAAGGAGAAAATTTTCCTGCTCTATGAAGTGACAGCGCTAGATCAATTTTCAGCGTTTTCATGTTCTCAGCTTGATTGGCTTTTTGAACTCTATTTAGAAATGTGAGAGACTAAAGTTTGACAACGTCACTTTTCAAAAGAAGAAATGTCGAGAACAGTTTTCAGTACTTAGTTGTGTCTTTATAAACCGGAACGCTATGCAGCGCAATGTAACTGATATATTCTGAAATTAAAGCATATTCTGTAAAATAATGTCCGATTTGAGTGTAGTGAGCTGATAAACGTGCAAGTTTTACGGCGATCTAAATGGCACGGATTGAATTACTAACACGAATGAACTTAGAATCCGTGACACTTGTAGCTGGATCACCAATGTAATAAAGACAACAAACTTTTTCCATAATTCAGTTGAGATGGAAATGAATGTTTGGTCGGTTTTAGATATGAAACTTGAGAATGTTTTGTCGATGTCTCTCTCGATGTACTGAATGATCGCCAAGCCTGTTTTAATTTTAACAGTATCCCTGAAGTGTTTTCGCTGGGCGAGTTCAAACTTTTTGACATCGAAAAAGCTTCAGTTAATTAAGAAACTAATACACTTCTGAA